TGGATGCAAAGCGACAGCGGTGTTTAACAGATTTTCGCGGGTATGAATGAATGTAAACTAGGGAGCTTATGACTGGCAAAATCCAACCAACCACAGGAAATATGATTTTGTAAACTGTCAGAAACGGAGGAGGCTTGGGTGTGTCATGTTCACATGAGAAATGAGGTTTTCTGAACGGGACGTAGTAAATTGTGCATACTTTAATTTTTATTAACGAGGGAGTGTGAGGAAGACTCACCATTAACAATTGCTGTCTGCATGCATACATTTTGTTTCAATTGGTTACTGGGGACCGCCTTAGTAAAACGGAGTAAGCTGAGTTGTTTCTCTCGCTTATGATTAACTTGAACACATTCAGATTGTCCGGAACATGGCCAACGTCCACTAGATGGTGAGCAGTCGCACGTTTTAGTACTTGTATGCCTTCAGTCAACGGTTTTGGTGTGTGTGATCAGAGATTCATACAAAAACTCTCTTTCCCGCTATTCCAATGAATGTGCATTAGCAGGGAGTTGTAAAGTGGTAAAAACAGTTGGAGGTAACATGATTCGACATCACTCGTAGAGAGTTGCAATGTTTTTCATGGTGAGCAGTGAGAAGAGCCAGGTCTCTGAATAAAACACAGAATGATTCAACCACTTGTATCACTCTTCAAATATGGAACTTCCAGTTTCACTTGAATCTAAGAAGTACGTCTCATTACACGTGTAACATACACACTACGTGCTGCAAAATGGATTCATTCACAGAAAGTGGTGAGCAGGGTCGGTACTAGACGAGGAATGTGAGACATTACAAAGTATGCTTGAGAAGATTAACTGGTCAGATGGACGACAAATTTATGTTTGTATCCTGTTTGTCACGTAGCTTTGTTGCGGAGATTTCATTTCCTTTCCAGACAAGATATTCAGTGCGTACGTGGGTTCTTCGAATCCTCCATGAGATAATCAGACCTCTCACCAAGTTTGCTTTCGACGTGATTGGTTCTTGCTTCAGATTTATTTCTCTCTTCAGATAACTTGTTTTTCGACTGGTTACTTTGTTGATATGAAGGTCAACTTATTTGTCTAATTACCGGTTGATTGATAAATCTCACCAGTGTCCGGATGTCTGTCTTACGACGATTCGTTGAAGTTCCAGTCTTCAAGACACTGAGTGACATTTTGTGTTTGTTCATTGTGTCGGATTCATACACACCAATAATGACAATTGGGGCGTAGCAATTATGCTATGCAGCTTAAAGCCCTCATCATCTTATGCGACATCTCCTATTCTCTAAACGTCTTTCAGGCATTTCTTAGCAACTGGTGAAGACTACATTTGGAAACTGTAATGCTTTTGCTTCGGGATTAATATAAATTGGGGGTTGTTCAATTCTCAGGACTACCTGATCCTACATTTAACATTAAACACCAAATTCACTGCATTTCGTTTGTATTTATTCAGCTAATAATGTTGGAGCACCACATCCTCCAAATATTCCCCGTTTCGTTTGTTTCTCATCTGAAGGTTCGATTTTCGAGTTAGTTTGATGTGGTTGTTATGCTCACTCCTAATCTCCTCACCTTACTGAACTTACAACCTGGAAGTAAACAAGTCCAGCCAGGGGATGGTATTCATGGATGATTCAATCTGGACTACATGAATGTTTGGAGAGCAGGCTACCATTGTGCTTACACTCATTTCTGTGTAGGATATCTACCTCTCATTCTGAAGGCAAGTAGCTTGAGTTCTCGTGGTGATTCGGTGAGAAAGATGACATTGTCTACATTAATGTCCTTCAACAAGATTCTACACTAAAGATATGGTTTACTCAACAAAGTACATTCAGAATTCAGTATTTTGTAGAAATGTACTATTAAAAATGAGGCCATCATTAGGTTTGAGAACCTCAAGTGATAAAACTGATGAATACAAATTTCCTAGAACTTTCTTATTTTTGAAACTAACAGAAAGTACACAAAACTCTGAGAAACAAATTGCTGATATTCCCATACATCATCTTCAGATGTGAACCAATTCAACCTGTACTTTGATTGAGGTGAAACGGTTTCAAATTGGAAGTCACACAGTGTGAGTTTTTCTGTCCCTTGTTAGTAGACCCCCTCCCTTCCTCATCTGTTTCATGGGATCCTGTCCTCACTCACAATATTTAGAAAATTGTTTCAATCTCGTGGTTGAATTCTATCACGTAAACAATTTTTCTTCAATCTCAACAAAATGTTTTCAGTGTGAACTCACTCCCAAATATTCTGCATAAACCTGATGCACTTTGCAAGTGCTAATATGTTTGAATGAAGTTGTGGTGAGCATTCCATCAGAATATTATGGGCAAATTTGTAAGTATTTGTGTGATTCCGCTCAACTGGCAGCAAGCTGAACAATATGAAATTGCGATTGTGTATGATGTTTGACGATGTGAGAGAGTACTTAATAAAAGGAACTGTTGGTGACATTAGCCAGGCTATCGCCTCAGCAAATCGGAGCAAATAAGATGGTTTCTTTTGCCCGTTGATTCCCATGAACACTTTAGTTTGTTCACAAAACGGCCACTGTAAAATATTTGGCGCTCAATCACACGTTTAATGCCTGTGACCCCTTCACCCTCACGTTGTGTTGTGTTGTGTGTGTTCAGAAATTCGGACAAACAAGGCTTCTCTCTGTTCTTCCATTGCATGTGCTTTGGCGTGGACATGTGAATTGGAAAACACAGTTGGAGATAACATGAATTGTGAGTTTGTCCACTTTTGACTGTCCTAAGCAACTGGTCGTCTTTCTTTTATCATATCGTGAAACCACACCGAATTTTCGGTACAAATATGCAATTTTCAGCATGTGACATCGGTAGCCTACATTTTGCAGACCGACCATTCATATTCGGTAGGCGTCGACAGGGGATCGAACCTCGGACGATGTGCATGGTCGGCGAGAGTCATAACCACCATGACACCGACTCAACAAATGCATTCTCGGCGGCTGTATGTGTTCTTTTCAGGGCCTCGTCCAGTATGCATCTTATTCCACCTGCATTATCATCACCTTTAAAGCAGGTCGAAGAAAGATGTAGTTTTTATCGATTAATATTCCGTTGAATGGAGAAATCTCCAATGCAATTCAACTACTGAAATCCAAGAAGCCAGGAGGACCAGATGGAATAACCCCGAAACACTAGAAATGCACGCAGAGACTGTGACAGATATGCTGACACCATTCACGCGAAAGAATTGCAGGAAGGTTTGGATATGCACCGTTTGTGTGAGAGGCCATTACAAGGACCTTCGCGGAATCACGTAAAGTGAAATATATGTCACGCCATTCCGGAAGGAACAACAGATGTAGTGGATACAGAACTCCGCTCTCAAGAACGAAATGGATTCAGAAAGGCAAATCATCTGCTGATCAAATGCAAATCCTCGCATCATCATCCTTCCTGCATCGAATTCGAAAATGCCTTCACCAGAGACCGTTGACAATGAAGTAATCTGGAAACCACTTCAACTCTAAGGCGTGCAGTGCCACACATATTTATCATCCTCATCCAACTGCTGGCTATATGACAGCGGGACGTGTCATGTGATCCACAATCGAAAACTCGACAAAGCGTCTAAAGTGGAGCTAGGAGTAGGACGAGGCTGCCTAGTATCTTCGACGATATTCCTAGTTGTGGTGGACTGGATTTTGTGGCACACCATATATGGAAGAGAGACGATATAGGTATTCTGAACCTTTGATACGACTCTATAATGTCTGGATTTCGAGGATGATCGATGTCTCATGTCACATAAACTTGGGGAATCGCAAGCGAAAACTGACAAACTAGCAGAAGCGGTAGGCAGCGACGACCGGCTTCCAGCACAAAATAGAGGAAACAGAGATGGTGGAAATTATTGACCAACCAACAGCATAACAAACACCATCAATTACTATTCCATGGGGAAATGTGAAAGAGTCCAATTCATCCACATATCTAGGAATAGTCGTTTCAGACACATGTGGAATGGATGAAGATGTCAAATGCAGATTCAGAATGGATACACGGATGATATTCATCAATCTGGAATCAAATCGGAAATCCTCTGCACTCACAACTTGGAACGAAATTCGGATTTCCTACAGATATGCTTGAACTCATTCACTTTTTCTTTTTTTTATATGGGTCAGAAACTTGGTCAGGAGCTCACAGACTACATTTGCAACATGACACTGCAGACTTTTTTCAACAGCTATATTCGCGAACGCCATATTGGCGATCGAATAGTCAAGATGATTTAGCCAGAAGAAACTGTGAGAACAGAGTAATCACGAACCTTTTCACTTTTGTGAGGAACAACTAAATCGTTTGCAGTCGGTGAACAGGAATGACCTGACTGAGGCTAAATTATGTCCAAATCTGAAGAATACCCCATTATTATGTGGAGATGACAGTTTGCATCTGATACAGATGTTGTCATCGGACAGAGATGTCTTGCAAATCACTACGACTTCACAGTTTTCAAATGTCACGTCTTAAAAAACTTGATCAATGAAATACGCAACTTTCGTAAATACCTGTATAGATGTCGCATCAACCACTTCTGTGTCTTTTTATTTTGTGGGCCAATTCCAACAACCATAAACAATGCTTCAATTGGCGGAAACCATCCACCAAAGTTGTTTAAACCGCAATCACTACAGACATAGAAGAAACGCCTTTTTAGCGTAATTCCGCATGTCGGAGAACACATGCAAGTGAATTCGATTCTCACATACTCACCGGTCCATCATCTATTCAGAACACCATTCATTTGCAAGTAAATGCTCTTCCAAACAACTGAGCGGTCATCAAACGTGATTCATTTTTAAGTACACACATGTGATTCTCGTGTACACAGTCTTTTTATTATTATTATTTGTGTCTAAGTACACTGTTTCCCCTCATCAACAATTGCACGGAGTCATATGATGTTGAGGAGAAAATTATTATATAAACGGAGATATTAGAAGCTCATTTTCAAGTGATTGTGAGCAGAAATATGATGCTCTCAGTGCAATTTATTCTTCTCTCAGTAATTCCACTGGCTCTGGCTAGTCGAGATGCATATCAGGAGAAAATATTCAAAATGCACAATGAATATCGTAAACAGATACTGGAGTGTAAAGTGGATGGACAACCATCAGCTAAGAGAATGCCTCCTCTCGTAAGTTCATTTTGTGTTGTTTATTATCCTCATTGAATTGTATTGCTTCTAAATTGTTAAGATAATTTAAGACTACTGTAGTTTCAGTGATTGAACAAACTTCTTCTGTATGCAAAACTTATAGAATAATATGTGAATAGCCATCTCTCTGGAGGTTTGAAGAAAACCGTGTAGCTGACGAACAGCCTCACTAACATCCTAAGCTACACGTATGCAGACGAATGAGTTGATACCATTCGTTAAGATCAGCACTTGAAACTTATCATTCACATTCTTACGAATCACTGGTTGTGTGAAGGAAGTGAGTCGGAGTTCAGCTGACTGGGACAGGCGGTATTTCAGAATTTCTGCCGATGAGTCCTCATTATATTGTAGATTCACATAAAGAAGTATTTTCGGAGGCAAGAAATGTGTATGATTTAAGTGGTGCAGGCATCATCGAATCGATTATGTAGAGTTCGAAATATTCACGTTCATATTCTCCGTCTTTTTCCCCCTGAACATTGCACTGGTTTTCTTACACTTTCCAACATATTTGTGTATATTTACTTGACGAAGACACTCCTTGTATCCTTGTTCTTTCTCGGTCTATTATAGATATGGGATGAAGAACTGGCTAGTCAAGCGGAAACATTAGCAAAATCTTGTACATATAGATATAAATCTCCGACAAGCAGAAGATTTGCTTCAGTTGGACAGAATACGGCTAATTGTGAATATCTCGAAGAGTAATCTTCATACTTATCATCATAATATCATATTTATTACAGTGTCATGAAAAGTTGGTTCGGTCAGCACAAGTGGTATAAATTCAAAGACCATTATTGTAGTCAGCCATGCTCAGAGTACTTGCAGGTAAGTTTTGATCGATTATTATCAGACTTCAGGCATCCTACTATTGTGAGTGATTGTTATTTGAAAGTAATTAACCACATAGACAAGTGTCTTGCTATGCAATTAGTGATAACAATAATAATAAAGCATCTTCATTCTCGACAGTATTCATCATATACGCAGAACTTTCAAAGGAGTTTATTACATGATATTTTGTCTACGTTCAATGTGTTCAAGGTGTGTGTACGGCTTGATGTTGAATATCAACAAGACTAAGAGTTAATACCCAAGCGAATCAGTTGTATTAGGAGCCTATTTTATCCACTCTCTCTACAGTCCAAATTTCTGAGTCGCATTGAACTTAGACAGTTAGCTGTTGATGGAGGTGTGCAGTATGTTCAAAGTGCCCTTCATGACGCGCTGGTCAAGTTTCTGATACGTATAGTAACAGCTATATGTGGAGATCGACAACACTAAGCATGAAAATGAAAATAATATCCGGATTTTTATTCCCCATGCGAAGTCAGTGGAACTTACTACACAGATCAGATACTTGGCCAGCGCAACATGAAGGGCACTTTGAACAAACTGACTTCGCATAGGAATTGGAAATCCGGGTCTTATTTTAATTTTAATGCTGAGTGTTGTTGATCTCTACACACGGACCTAAGTGTAATGAAAACATGCCTTGCTTTCCTCATCCTCATAATGATATCCTCGTCAGTTCTGTCCGCCTGTAGGTGAAACGATTCTTCGTGGATAGTTAGGTTTTGTGCTGTATTTTGTCTAATGTTGTCCCTGTTCCTCGTGGCCAACAATCACTATCACCTCTTCATGAAGTAGAAAACCTCAAGAGAATGAATTATTGTTCCCTTGGGTTCCTAGTCAAATATTGGGCCGTGACAGCTCATAGTCACTTTAGTGCATTGTCTGTAGTCCTTCTCTGTATTTCATCACCATCGACTATAACCTTCCATCCACTTCTCAAACGATTCCACACACCACCACAACCTCACCTTCCTACCTAACCTCAACACATCGTTTTCCAGTGGGATTCCATCACATAGCTTCACCTCACCTGTTCACTTAGTTCATTAGTTCACCATTCAGTTGTAAGAGACGAATAAGAGGAAAGCTTGGTCATGGGGCAAGCAACCCTCTTTCCTTCAAGCAGAATACAGATTCAATCAAAATAGAAACCTGATTTGATAGAAAAAGTATTTAGAAAAAATTTTAATGAGTAAATTTGCACTAAATCTCTGGCCATGAAATAATCTTTATCTTCCCGAATTTCTCTTTATTTATTACCTTCTTATTTAGATGGTTTCCGCAAATACTACACATATTGGATGTGCATACAATGAATGTCCATACGGTGATGACGGCTCTTACGTCATAGTCATAGTTTGTAATTATGGTCCAGGGTAATTGATTTATCTGATTTGTATTGATAATTGTTTTTGGTATACTGCAACATCCAGCGCCAATCACCATCAATGGGAGGGATTTGAAAGAGGAGGTTACTTCATTCAATTATCTTAGGAGCATTGTTTCAACTACAGGAAGAACGGACGAGGATGTCAAATCGAGAATCGGGAGGGAAGGCGAGAAACACATTCATCAACCTGAAACCAATCTGGAAATCTTCGTCACTCAGCCTGCATCAACAACAAAATTCGGATTTTCAATACAAACGTCAAGTCAGTCAGTTCTTCTATACGGATCAGAAAATTGCAGGGTCACAAAGAATATTTCCAACAGCCTGTTGCAGACCTTCATCAACAACTGTCTTCGCTAGCATCATGCTGAAGATCAGATGGCCGCAAAGAATCACCGACAAGAAACTGTGGGAACAAACGAAACAAGAACCAATCGCTCAACAAATATGCAGGAGAAAGTGGAGATGGATAGGATACTCGCTGAGGAGGCCGCTGGGTGACATCGCGCGTCAGGCCAATGCTCGAGTGGAACCCGAAAGGGAAGCGGCGAGTGGGACGTCGAAGGGTGACATGAAGGAGATCGTTTGAAGAGGAGTTGAAACAGTATCGATTAACATGGACGCAGGCGAAAAGTACAGCAGAAGACAGAAGCAAGTGGAGGCGTGTAGTTGAAGCCCTATGTTCCACTAGGAACCCAAGGGAACAATAATAATAATACTCTGATTACCTGACTAGTGAAGTTTAAACCATTTGTGTCACTTTTATTACTCATTATCTGAAAAACTAAACACACAGCACACAGAGTACTGTCAAATTAGATTCAAGTATGCGTAGGGTGTACTGCAGTCTTCCACATAATTTACACATTGTTAATTCTTCCCTGCGTGTTTCTTAAATGCTCATTTCTTTTCTTTTATTGTGTTCATGAAAACTGCTTAATATTTTAGGGTGAAACTTAATATGAGACCCTATGAAGCGAAGAATATCGATGAAGTATGTCCAGTGAAAAGAAATAGAGTAGCTGGTCAACCGCGGCGTGGACAACGACGGCGTACTAACAGCACAATGAAAAATAGCAACAGAAATAAACCAAGAAAGAATTAATAACTAATTATTATTTTAATATAAAATCTGTGTAACCCAATACATGCACACTTTTTCAAATATAATGACTTTTACATTCTCCGGGTTTTCTCGCTTTGTGAGGCGTCTATGTGGAACGGTTATGTGTAACATTGGAATAGTGAATAGATGGAAGTAGAGATGGGATATTCTTGTTGATAGAAAAGTGCCTGTTCTGTTGTGCATTTCTACTTTCCACGATAGACTTTACAACACCTTCTGTAACCAAACAGTGATATATACATCGAATAACCCTACTGATTTCAAGTAGTTTTCGTTGTCAGTGATTTCGAAGTCACATTTTCCCGTTGCTACGTATTCATTCTCCTGCTTTGAATGTCATCTGTATGTGGTGGAACGTCTGTTGTACACTGAAAGTAATCTGGAGCTGAGATAAATACATCTAGTCCGTGTGCGAATATCTCAGGTTTTCAAAGAAAGCTGAAACACCAAGTGTTTGTGCACAATAATATAAGGTCATCAATGTTTGTGTTCTATTTCATTGTTGGATTCCAACTCTTCAGCTGCTAACATACTTCAAGTTGATGATGCGTAAATGTACACATCCAATCTTGTCATAATTACAGCAAGGGTCAGCATGATTTTTGCTAACAGACACACGCATGTTAATAAGCAATGCTCAGTTGTTCAACTTATATAACTTATTCAAGTGTTGCTTTGTAGGGATTTGGTTGATTGGTTACAGGATTTTCATCATGAGCTGACATTAGTTAGAGAACCATTGGAAAACCTGGGAGTACTGGGCATCTGTTTCGTCCTAGTTTGGGACTCTTCAACAGTATGCATCCACCGGGATTCGAACCCAGGAGCTTCTAATTCCAAGCGAGCTCGTATACAATTAAGTGACTGGGACCCGATCCAATGGCCCATGAATTCTAACTTCTGCAAATTCACGACATAGTGCAACCTCTAGCCAATGTCTTCGGCGAGTATTTGTCCTCACACCCGACCTGCTGCACCCTACTGGTCACTTATTATTGGTAGAGGAGGAGGAGGAGGTCAAGCTTCGAGCAGAATACGAACATGCAAAACTAGTGGTCAGATACTATCCAAAGTGGTTACGTGGTCTATTACAATAATGGTAATAATAACATCTTACTTTTGAAGAGTTCTTACCAAATCTTCAGAATTCTGTGGGGAGTTTATTGCATGATAAACACCCTTAGTACAATTGTAACGACAGAAAGCAAGAGTCAGGGAACAGATCATTTATTAAGGAAATCAAAGCATATTTATATATGTTTTCATGTACATTACTATGGATATGTAAACAAACAAACACAGTCTTCCGATTGGTTGTTTCTCACGACAAATCTTGGGAACGTAAATATAGACGTAAATTACTGTCTGCCAATTTGGCTAGTAGACAGCTCTGAGCACACAATATCTTCAAGTAAAATATTAATTGAAAGTCTCTCCTGTGACAGAACTTTTTCTTAGCTGGAGAATGTCATTATGAAATAACTGCACGAAGTCTGTCGTGAAATCCACAATATTTGGTTGAAAGGCAACCAGTAGTGGAAAATTGAGAGGTATATTTTGAGTTAGAAAGACATAAGCGAAGAATATTTAACCCATATAGTGGAACATGTTAATACCTTCATTCAGGCCATTCCTCAAGTTTGTAGGACCCTTTTAATCAGAATCAATACTGGAAAGTTGTTTCACCCAAGTTTTAATCTCTTCAGCAGTGCGCACTCACCGCGGTGTGAACCCACGACCATCTGGTTACAAGGCGCGCTTTTGATCATTAAGCCATTACGACCCGATCTAGTCACCCGGGATTTTGAACTTGTATTAGTTCATGATGTAGTAAGACAACAGCCAATGTCTTCGACGATTATTCTTCCTACCGCTCAACCTGCTGAAACATACTGGTCACAACTTCACACCAGAATCTCAGGTAACTACCTGACTGAATATAGCCAGTCGCTATTGAGCATCTCACTGATATTCAAGTGTTCGTTTGTAGTGAGTTGATTGATTCGTCTCAGTATTTAATGAAGAATTATTGAATAAATAAATAAATAATTAAGTATTCATACTTGTATATTTAGTAAAATCTGTTTATTTTGATACATGTACTTTTGAAATGTAGAGATTCTCAAATGTTACTGGCATTTTCTGGTTTAGAAGAATTTGTGTGAATCACTTATGTGTTCTCTCAGAACAATCAGAATAATCTCGGTGGGTGAGATGTGTGTATTCTGCTGTAGGTTCGTTCAGAACAGTCCTCGGGGTATGTTTTGTGTTCCTTATGTTCGCTTTCGTCATGAGTGGAAAATAAGTCTTCAACAACACATCTACAGTGTTTTCTACTCCCTGCAGTCCACTTCATCTGGTCCCAACACTGTCCATCAGTGCATACCTCCTTCTGCTCATATGATGTGCTCCACGTCACTGTGTCATTCTATACTCGTCGTTTGCAAGTAGAGTTTCAATAAGGCGATGTACTGTTGTGCGATATCACACACTAGTCTCGTCAACGTGTTTCTGATCCCCTTCCATTTTATTCGAAGCATTTGTTAAATAATTGATTCTCGTTTGGTTTGTCTCCAGGGTTTCTTGTTGTTTACTCTTTCTGACTAGCAAGTCGACATTCCGCATGTGGCCAGCGATGCCACATACTGGTAGACTTCTGCAGTCTGTGTCTTATTGTAAATGCTCTTCGTGACACACCAAGTTTCCTTTCTGTTATGATGATTTAGTTTACAAATTACTTCATGGTCAATACTGTTGGAGGCATTTCCGAATTGGATGAAATCTAGATAGACATGTAACTGCTTTTACACACTCTTTTCAATGATGAGGTGTATAGTTCCTGTTTCACTCGCTTATGATTTGCTTCCTCCTAAATCTCTCCTGTATGACATGCCTTAGTATTTCACTTGGCATGGGAAGTAGCTAAGCAGTCGTCCTAAACTTCAAACCTGATCCGGAAGAGGATTGTTTTACAGCAACATGCCAAATTCCTGGATAAGCGTCAATTACTGTATCCAAGTGAAATGATGCATTAAAGATTTGTGTTAGTGAATGACACAAAATGTCAGCAAACGTTTGCTGTAAAACGCTTGCTACACATTCGCGACCACGACTGTGTGATGGACTTAGCCAGTTAAGACGTGAAGATTCATTCTTTCCATTGAAATCAGATAAATGATCATTCACATGGCTGGAAACATCAATTTCCACCATTTTAGACGGTTGCTTTATAGGAGATTGAGAGAGTGTTTCACCAAATACCCTATTTAACCTTTTCATTTCACACTTTATCAGAGAGTGTATCCTTGGAATACAAGCGTTATCATGTGATGTGCACAAGATGATTCATAGGTACTTTTCATCAGTTGAAATTCCGTCTGCTTCTGCTGTACTCCCGGCTGAACTTCGGTAGCTGCAGTTTGCATGCACTGGTACAACTCTCTGCATATTCGGATTCAATTTAGCCTCTGACAGCTAGTTCCTGTTCACTACATTCACATAGCATGTCTTCTCCTCACGGAAGTCGAAATGTGATTGCGAATCATCTGGTTTTTACAACCGTACGTGTGTAGATGCTGGTCTACCCTGGGAGCGATGATTAGCTCTCCAGAATCCAAACAGATCGAAACGCGTGTTATATGTTTTGTTCACTAGCGACCATGTTAACTTAGCTGCTTGCGCTGCTCAACTGAATTGCCGATAAGATTTCAGGTGAAGTGCTCGAGGTGTGGCCCACTGAGATAACCACTTGGCTAAGTCTTGGCATCTAGCCAGTATCTCAGCAGCCGGAAAGTGAATTGTATCTCTTGGTGACCTTAATGTACCAAGCTGTATTTTAATAAGTAAATAAATCACATAAAATACAACTTCGTTTGGATGAAATATACCCATCTGACATAATACGAAAACGCACAGTTCATCAGCGAAGAATGTATTTTCCGTAGTTTCACTGTAACGCTGTACACTTAGTTCCATAGTGTTGAAAGGGTCAAGGGATCGTTAATATGGTCAGTTAATCACACTGTATTTGGTAACAAAACAATTGAGTTCACATATTAAGCAGACTGATAAATTACATGACTGTAAAACAATTTGCGATAAGCATCATTCAGAAATGGTTACCACAAGAGCACAGAAAATATTATGCACATGTAAACAGGAACACTTTTCAAATAAGAAAAAGATTTAGAATACGGCACACTTGAAGATTAGGAAAATTCACAAAGTATAACTCAGCGTTCGAAAGAAAGAAATAGGCAAAAATAAGGAAACTAACGAAGAAAATTTAGATTAAACACAAAGTTCTTGTGTCCATAGAAGAAGCTCTGTATATTTACAAGTAAAGCCCTGAACTGTATATGCAGAAGCACTTGATCTAGTCCATTCTCCCACCGTCGTCTTGAACTTTAATTTAACACCTACATTAACTGTGGCGCATTGTCTTCATTTGCACAATAAGATGTTCTCACTATTACAAAATTCCACTTCTGTTATCAGTATCTCCCTCCATTCACCCTGTTACATTAGATTTTAAAACTTTAATCTTATCCCATCCTATTGTATGATTGTGTGTAATGTAGTGAGTCGTATAGCTGAACTATTTTCTGGATTACTTATTTGATTCAGGTCAACTAATCTAGATTTTGCGAGGAGTTTTGTGCTCCGTGAGTCTGACTGACTTCAGTCTTCTAATTTTATTTCTTCCTTATTAAGAATTTAGCTTAACCTCGCCAAGATTACTAGTTCACTAGTATTCTAGCCGGTCGCAAGCCCGGATAAAGAAGGAGGGTTGAGGCGTGGTGCTAGCAACTCCACCCACAAAACTTAACCAAATCGCTACAAAAACTTCAACGCACAAATATATTAAAAATTCTAAAAATACAAACAATAACCTTATTTTTTGCTGGAATCGCGGAAGTGAAATGACGCAGGCTGGTGAAAGCCTTCGGAAAGCCAGTCAGCCGATGTGCCTTCTTTCGATGAAAGAAAAAATAAGGATGGGGACGTGGAATGTTCGTACAATGTACGAAGCTGGAAAGGCTGCCCAGGTAGTCACAGAAATGAGGAGATATAAAATAGAAGTGTTGGGAGTCTGCGAGAGCAGATGGAACGGATGCGGAAGGTGCCAACTATCAACTGGAGAGACAATAATCTGCTCCGGTCACCCAGAGGACAATCACAAGCACACCGAGGGAGTAGCCATCATGATGTCACCAACAGTAGCCAAAGCTCTCATGCAGTGGGAATCAATCTCCTCCAGGATAATGACAGTTAGGTTCAACTCAAATGGAAAGAAGGTTACAATCATTCAATGCTACGCAACTATAAACGTCTCAGAACAAGAGAGTAAAGAGGCCTTCTAGAGACAACTACGAGCAGTAATGGACAATGTCCCAAATAGCGATATCAAAATACTGATAGGTGATATGTATGTGAAACTGAGAGAAGACAGTACAGGAAGAGAACTCACCATGGTTTGCGAGGCCGTCGGTGAAATGAACGACAATGGTGAACTCTTCTCAGACTTCTGTGCCTACAATGATTTGGTGATTGCTGGCAGTGTGTTCAAACGAAGGGATATACACAAGACGACATGGATTTCACCAGATGAACACACCAAAGACCAGATAGACTTCATTTCAATCTCAAGGAAGTGGAGACGGAGCTTACTGGACACAAGGTCGAGGAGAGGAGCAGATGTGGGTTCAGACCACTATCTAGTACAGGGGACTTTCAAGTTGAAGATAAAAGCCTCGAGGATAGCTGATGATTGGCCGTAATGACAGTTCAACACGCAAAAAGCGAAGGACACAACCACAAAGGACACTTTCACTGCAACTGTCAGAGCAAAGCAGGAAACACTGCGTGGCATCACTGAGGAATCATCTGTGGAAGACCACTGAAACTCTCTGAAGGCAATTTTCAACGAAACGTGTTCAACGGTTTTGGGAAGAAAGAAGAAACAAGACAAGGAATGGCTCTCAACAGACACTTGGAAACTAATAGAGGAGAGGAGAAAAGTGAAAGAGAAAATGATTCAATGCAAAGATGGACAAGAGAAAGAGACGCTGAGCTCAACTTACACAGCACTGGACAAAGAAGTGAAGAAGAGTGCCAGGAAGGACAAAAGACAATTCTACGACAACCTGGCTACTGAAGCTGAGAAGGCAGCAGGCAAAAGGGACCTGAGGACACTATATCACATAACCAAGTCTCTATCCGGGAAGAGATCAACACAAGTGAAACCTATAAAAGACAGCCAAGGGAACCAAATTACCAAAGAAGAAAGACAGATTAAACAATGGGCGGGCCACTTCAAAGGACTCTTGAACCGACCACCACCTACAACCCGTCCAGAAATACTAACAACAGCACGTACACAACTGCAAGTTCACACCAATCCTCCAACGAAAGCTGAAGTCTTGAATGCAATCAAGCTTCTGAAGGCTGGAAAAGCAACTGGACCAGATAGAATACCCCTTGAAGCACTGAAAGCAGACCCGGAGACGACAGCGAATATGCTGACTCCAATATTCCAAAAGGTCTGGAAAGAGGGAAAGGTGCCTACTGACTGAAGGAAAGGTTACCTAGTGAAACTACCAAAAAAGGGCGACCTAGGACTCTGCAAGAACTGGCGAGGAATCATGCTCCTGTCGACGCCAAGTAAAATCCTGAGTGGCATCATCCTGGAGAGAATCAAGGACGCACTGGATACAGAACTCCGACCAGAACAAGCTGGATTCAGGAAAGGCAAATCATGTTCTGACCAAATTGCAACTCTACGCATCATCATCACAGAACAAAGCATGGAATGGCAATCAAACCTCTACCTCAACTTTACAGACTTCGAGAAGGCCTTCGACGGCGTTGACCGCGAAGTAATTTGGAAACTACTTGAGTACTAAGACGCACCCTAAATATTCATCAACCTTAATCAACAGCTATACGACAACAGCACATGTCAAGTGATTCACAACGGAAAAATCAGTGAGGCGTTTGGAGTAAACACAGGAGTCAGACAAGGGTGCTTATTATCACCAATGATATTCCTAATTTTGGTGGACTGGATTATGCGTCAGACAGTGGGAAACGGGAAGACAGGGATATCCTGGACCGACGTGAAGAACCTAGAAGACCTGGATTTCGCGCGTGGATGATTTATGTTTGATGTCACACAAAATCGAAGACTTACAAGCGAAAACCGGCAAACTGGTCGAAGAAGCAGGCAGCAAAGACAGGACTCCAGGTGAACATAGACAAGACGGAGGTTATGAAAATAACCAACCAACCAACAACAACAGCAGCAGCAACATCCAGCGCCAATCTCCATCAGTGGGAGGGATTTGAAAGAGGTTACTTCATTCACTTATCTAGGTAGGGAGCATTGTCTCAACTACAGAAGGAATGGATGAGGATGTCAAATCAATAATCGGGAAGGCGAGAAACATTTCCATCAACCTGAAACCAATCTGGAAATCTTCCGCTGTCACTCAGCATCAACAACAAAATTCGGATTTTCAATACAAACGTCAAGTCAGTCAGTTTTGCTATACGGATCAGAAACTTGGCGGGTCACCAAGAATATTTTCAACAGGTTGCAAACATTTATCAACAATTGTCTTCGTTCTATACTGAAGATTAGTTGGCCGGAAAGAATCACAAACAAGAAGCTATGGGAACAAACAAAACAGGAACCAATTGCCCAACAAATATGCAGGAGAAAGTGGAGATGGATTGGACACTCTCTGAGGAGGCCGCTTGGTGCCATCGCTCGTCAGGCCCTCGATTGGATCGCGGAAGGGAGGCGGCGAGTGGGACGTCCAAGGGTGACATGGAGGAGATCATGTGAAGAGAAATTGAAACAGTATGGATTAACATGGACGCAGGTGAAAAGTACAACAGTTCCACTAGCAACCCAAGGGAACAAAAATAATAAGAAGAAGAATTTAGCGTAAGGTTTCCGAGGTTCCTTCCTTGTATGGAATTACTGATGATTTCGATTCCTTATTGTGGGTGTTGTCATTATCCTCCGCATGTTTGACATGAATGTCGTCATTATTATTATTGTTATTATATTATTACCCCTATCACTACTATCGTTATTTATTTTATTTTTACATTATCCTACATACTCTCTGACTAATTTATCAGGGTAATTATTGAGCTTCAAAGCTTTTCTTATATGTCTCACTTCCTGTCTTAGATTTTCCTTGCTACTGCTTAGTTTTTGTGCTCTATCACTTAAAGATTTAACCAATCCTTTTTACACCGATATGGGATTGGATCATCGGAAATTCTAATATCTGTTTGAATATGTGTTAAATTTCTGTTAACACTAGTGTTTAACTTCCTATCTTCTCTCCATTTTACGCTACAATCTAACATTTGAAGCTCCCCTACTTACTTTCCAATTCATAAGTGAACTGACTTGCCTCCACCTGTAAATTAGTGTGTTCGAAAAATCTATCAATAATCTGTGGCCTGAGTCCAGTGAATGTGTCATCTACATACCTCCAGCATACTTTTGCGTTGAGGCGGAACGTTTCACTCGCTAAGTTCTTCAACTTGTCCATGTTTTCCTCCACTTCTGCGTGCATTCTCAGGACAATTCATTCATTCCAGTTCTCATTTTATTACGTGACATGCAGTAGATTGTGGAACCAGGTGAAGAGGATAGTAGAAATTTGAAGAAAGTGCAGAAGTGTTTTTTGAAGCCCTATGTTCCACTCTCTCTCTCCTTTATTACATCGACCAATACTAACAAAATTGATTGGGAGAACTATTATCACTTTTTTTGCACCATCATTCATGCAGAATCCTAAATTAATGCGACTGTAAAGGTAGACGAGAAAGATGAATTTGCCGAAAAAAAGCCTCTTCGCTAAACTACGTGACATTTTTTCTATAAACTTTATATACTACTGATTATAAGTTTCCTTGAAGATTCAACGCAAAGAGTGAATAGTTTAGAATTCCTCCCAACACATACATCAACGCAGTTTTAAGAATGAAACCACAAGTATTCTTTATTATTATTATTAACATTCAAAATTCTTTCAATCTTCTATCTCGCCTAGAGAAAAATGTCGCTTAGAAACGTCTGTAAATCTCCCCTTATCGAAGATTTAATTCAGGAAAAGGCAGTGTCATTGAGTTTCCAAAAATAAACTTTATTCGAGAAAGAATATCAATTAAATTATATGAGGGAATTACTGCTGCATTTCTCCTCACTCAGTCAAAACAAATACATGTTTGTGCTATATTTCCTTGAAGATCCTGAGCAGCGGCGTATTGACTCCAGGTGGATTTGAGTTGTGTCCACTCAGGCTCGGGTGTTTTCTTTGTATGGGATGGCTTTTGAGTCGGTGCTGTTGTTCTTGTTGTTGTTGTTGTGGTGGTGGCGATAGTTGGCTTGGGTGTTATTCGAGCTGGAACCTGTTGTTGATCACATTCACTTCGTGGCTTTGCTTGATAAAGACGCCCGTTTTTCAAATTAGCACTAGGTTAAGTATACAAAAACAATGGTGAAATTATTTTTATACCATTATTATTATTTTGTAATTTTAATACGTCCCCGGTGGAACATAACGCCTCAATCTTGGAGATTTGGAGTCCCAGTAGCAGTCGTATTATTCCTTTTTGATGTATTTTACGAGGTGAGTTTGATAACCTTACACCCAACACTCCGTATTTAATGTCTCAGACGAGATTAACGAGTGCGTCGTTGTATGGATTTGTATGCCGGACCATCTGGATGGTTGACGGTGAATACCTGACACACAAACAGTAACTGGATGACCAATGAGCCCACCATATAACCCGAAGGTTCTAGGTTTGATATTTTGAGGTGGGTGCATACTGTGAACTGTCCCGAATTGCAAAGATAGGATCAGCTGCCCAGTATTCTTTGGTGTATTCACGGTTTAATTTTAAAAATTTCTAATAATTTCTAAAATACTCATCAAAGTGTATCTCTACAAAAAGTCAACTCACCCTTCACCATAATTACAGACTATGGATAATCGATATCCAGGCCTTTGACGACAATCTTTCACACCACATCCAAGATGTGTAGTATTCTCCCAGACCATCTGAAAAGACAAAACCATAAATTATTCACAGAGAATAGAATATTCTCATTCAAAGACATTCTTTGATATAACCATGTCAAGAAATTCCTGTCTATCAAATAGCGGTACAGTGCTCAATGAAGGCGTCAGAGGTACTGGAATCGATGCTGAGATACTCCACTTCACCTTGTCTCTAGTCGCTTGATAATGATGATTGTTGTGCACCGGTGTTTCAATACCTAAAAATGCTCGTAAACCACAGATCATGTGCTGCAGGGTTCGACATCCGGCTGGAGTACTACTAAATCTCGTTTGATCCGTAGTAGGCTTAGGAAGGAAGAAAGATTGAGCACGAGTCTATCAACTCAGCCCTATTCAATAAACAGCAACACTTCCACTGTAGAAAAGAAAAGGCGTTCAGCAAAGAGTTACTCTTTCCGGCGATATCATTCTCAAGCTGTACAAACCGCAAATTTGATATAAGAATAAAACTTGGGCACTGTGGTAGAGTGTAATTCCATTATGGGTAAATTTTATTTTGATAGAGTCTCACAGTGTTATACAGTAATATTTACTGATGACGTTTCGAGCACAATTATATGATTATGAGCAATAAATTGTGCTCGAAACGTCATCAGTAAATATTACTGTATAACACTGTGAGACTCTATCAAAATAAAATTTACCCATAATGGAATTACACTCTACCACAGTGCCCAAGTTTTATTCTTATATCAATGATACTTATGGTCTTCCTACCAGGAAGCTTATCACCTTGATATGATTATGAGCAATAAATTGTGCTCGAAACGTCATCAGTAAATATTACTGTATAACACTGTGAGACTCTATCAAAATAAAATTTACCCATAATGAAACCGCAAATTTATAGTAATTTTTTTGCTTACTGCTCCCAAGAAACTTCTCGATTTGAATCTACAATTCACTGGAGATTCTTCAGCAGAAACCGCCTGTGCCGTTCACTGAAGAAAACCTTCTTCGCAGCTGAACTCAAACTAACTTTCTCTACGAAACCAATGATTCGCACGAACGTGAAGGACAAGCTTCCACTGGGGGCCTCATCGATGTGCATCTACCAATTCACCTGCTCATGTGGAATTAGGTATGTCGGCCGTACCCAGCGTTTGCTATCCAAACGAATCAGCGAACACTTACCTTCATGGTTTTATAAAGGAGAAAGAAGATCAACCCGCCACAGCTCTATCCTAGAACACTTGATCGAATCCGGACACCAAGCAAACCCACAAAACAACTTCTCAGTTATCTACACAATACGTGGGAATCTTGCCAAAAGAGTACGAATTAAACTTCTTCAAACTGCAGAAGAAATGGCAATTCACATATTGAATCCTGAACTCTGCGTACAAAAGAAGTTTGTTCAGTCACTAAATCTACAATGGTCCTGATCTATCTCAACGTCAAATGCGGAATTTGTCTTACCTCTTTCCTCTTTGTTTGTCTGTTTCTTAATTGCATTATTTTCTACCCCCACCCTCTATTAAATCTCTACCCTCATGACGACTGTTGCTGACTCCATTTTCGTTTATTTTAAGTGAATTCTACTCAGATTATTAACTTGACTCTCATTCATTTTTCATTGAACCCTAGCAATTAGATTACGTCACCCAACCTACTTTCGTAACTTTATTTTAGTTTCTAACCGATTAACGCCTTCTAAATTACGTAATTTGTTGTCCAAAAATTAACGATTGCATCAACACATCTTTGGAAATATTCCTTTTGTTGCCAAGAAAAATTACTATAAATTTGCGGTTTGTACAGCTTGAGAATGATATCGCCGAAAAGAGTAACTCTTTGCTGAACGCCTTTTCTTTTCTATGACTGAATGGGAATTTTCAAGTTACTTCCACTGTAGTTCACATGGATTGATGCTGTAGGTTCCACTCGGAATCCTGAAGAACAAAACATAGAAATGAAGGATATCGAATTCCGTAGTATTCAGATGTCATTTACCATGTGTGTCGGGAAATGACGTGAAGAAGATCGACTGAGGAGAAGATGAGAACTTACTGACAACTGTGAAACCAGCTCTACAAGAACTCCTGAGGTCGTATATTTCACTCAGAATTCATGAAGAACTCATTAACAATGAATATCTATTTGAGTCAAAGATGATTCTCCTGGCTGAGGTGAAAGTAAGTGGGAACAAAATGACCTATTCATCTTCAAAAAACTAATCAACCAACCAACCGACCGACCGACCAACAGAGAAACAAACGAAAATATACAACTTACCTGTGTATAATGTACGCAGCTATCATGACAAGCGTGTGTGCTATAATCATAATTTTTATACTCTTCAAACCAAGATTCTACAGCTCTAAAATAAGGAGAAAGCGATTAAAGCAAAAATATTCGTCTTATTCGCTTACTGTTCAACAGTTGCTTGACTGGCAATACTTTGTCCAACATGTTTGTATTTAGGCAATTCAATGTCGTCATATTCAAATGAACAAGAATCTGCTAATTTTTGAGCACGTTGGGCGAGTTCATTGTCCCATTGCTAAATAAGGAAGTCAAGAGGAAAGCGAAAGCAAGAAAATCATATTTAAAATAATGGCATCAGAGGAAAAACGAAGGACTATGAATTTTCATTACCAAAAGTCTTGATATCATTTCCAGTCTTCTAGAATCAGATACAACGCTATCACAAAGATGTCCACTGGACACCAGTCAAATAATTAAGAGATTAAAATTCTATCTAGAAAATAATTATTTTACATTTAAAGGGAGTTTATATAGACAGACAAATGGTGTTGCTATGGGTTCACCAGTCTCCCCAATAGTCGCCGACCTTTTCATGAATGAATTCGAAAATAACATCTTTTCAAGCATACTCACTCCTTAAATATGGTTAAGATATGTAGATGATACTTTTGTAGTATTAAAACGAGATCTACGCAATTCATTCCCGGAGAAAATAAACTGTGTATCTCCCAGAATCCAATTCACTTCGGAAGCAGAATCAGACGTTGGTGAACTACCATTTCTAGACTGCTTAGTTAAGAGAAGGGAAAACGGACATTTTAGTATATCCATATTCAGGAAGAAAACCCACTCAAATATATATTTAGACTTTAAGTCATCACACCCCATCAGCGCAAAGATTTCAGTTGTTTCAAGTCTTCTTAGACGAGCACACTCTCTGATAACCGACGAGAAAGAAAAAGAAGAAGAAATATCAAACATTACTGAAACTCTCAAGCAAAACAACTACCCAACGAACTTCATCAACAAAATCAACACAGACATTAAGTATGGCCGAAAACGCATTCCGAAAACATGGACATCAACAGTCGTCATTCCATATAGAGCAGAGACGTCAGACGATATCAGAAGAGTACTCAATCAGCTCGACATCAGAGTTTTCTTCAAAACATCAGACACACTACAAAGCAACCTTGTCCATATAAAAGACCAAATCCCTAAAGATTCTCTATCTAATTGTGTCTATAAAATAAAATGCTTGGAATGTGATGCGATATACATCAGACAAACATCTCGAGAAATCAAAATCAGAAGAAATGAACGCCGTAGAGCATCTGTTCTACTAACGAGAAATCCGGTTGAACTTGAAAAGCTTGAAAAATCATCAACCATAGCTCGTCTACACGCTATAGCATCAGGCCACAAAATTGATTTTGACAATGTGGAAATAATCCAGAAAAACTTTAGAAATCACAAAGAATGTCTAATATCAGAAGCATTTCATATCAAGTGGAATCAAAATTGCCTGAATAGGAATGATAGATTAAAACAGAATCTGACCTGGTTACATTACCTTCCTCCCCCCATCAAGTGACAAAACCAACACGAATGTGATAAGCACTTTCATTATGTAAACACACGCTGCTTTTATAATCTTATACACTTATCAAATCCAACAATCTACACGTGATGGTTTTGTTATCTTTACCAATTCACCAACTTGACAACTAAAAATGCCCCCAGACAGACGAACGATGGTCAAGTTAGTAAACTTTATTTTGATATCATAACAGACATACTATTACCTTTGTTATTTGGTTTAGTTATGTTCATCGCTATTTTTACTTCCAATATATCCCTTTAACTTGACCTAAGTCTATTTTTTCACCCCCTAACTGTTTGTTATATATATGCTGAGATTTTGTAAATTCCGGTTTAATAATACTTTGATAAAGCTATTAGCATTAAATAGCGAAAAGTCAGTAAAAACAATATCGTTTTGTTTTTCATTCGCTGGGAAATACAAAAACCTTTATTATAATGAATATCATATACCCAATGCCCAAATTTTTTCAAACCGTTAAAAGTGAACTTGGTTTGGACATATATGACTGTGAATTTTGTTTCGCTTTTGGCGAGTTCTGGTTAAGCGAGAAAAAAGGACAGTGGCGGTGGTAGGCAGATAAACTTACAAGATCTGGAAGATATTTAGCCGGCGGTTGATTTTCCAATTCACAATTCATCAGCTTATGTCTATAGTCATTGTGTAGTCGAAGTAATTTCTGAAGATCTGCATTCGCTGGTTGTGAGATGACACTTTGTACGCAGATATGAAGTGATGACAGGTAGAATAGCCAAATAATCTGCATTATTCCCACCAATTGTGTTTTATTTTGTTCTATGCTGTGTTTTTACAGACGACTATTTATACCATCTGCAATCTGTTTCTCTGTACACACTCAACCAATGAAATTAGCTTTAAACTAAAATTTTATTAGCTATTTTACGCTGATTATCGTTCCCATGGATAGTTTCGTTGAATTCAGGTAAACATTGATAGGTACTTTTGTAAAAATTCTCATAATTGACCAGATGTTTCAAATTGTACGCCTCCCTCTCGCTATTTGTTTTTTTCTATATGTCTGCATATTTGTTAGTATAGAAGGCTGTTGGCTAGTTCATATTAATTGTTCATTACCTTTGCCTATCATCTCCGGCTGGCTTCGTTTTGCTGAGTCGGTCGCCAATAAACGACTGAAACGAAAATGGTGGAATGCAGGTAGCAAAGGACAGTGATGAATCTCGCTCACACTGCCTTCGTGATACTAAAGTATACATATGCTCCTGTGTCATCTCTCCCTTTGACACAGCTTTATTTCGCATGTTACCATGACACCCTACCAACCTTCTCCGCACTGGGTATTTCAGAAAACCATATTTTGTCTGTTTTTATCGGGTATTATCCATCAGAATCATCACAGGTCAATTATATTCTACCCACACAAAATAGTTGTTGAACTATGCTGTCCACTTGATTCCTAGCGTAGTCATCCAATTTTCCTATGAGTAGTTAATCCTAATCACTTCTTATTATTTATCAACTCACTAGCCACCAATGTTACCATCAGATCCCGTCATTATATAACCGTTGTCATCGTGGAGAACGTATGCACAAATATTGAAAGCAGCGTGTGAATTCGTATTCTTCAGATTGCTGGAAGTTGACCGAAACTGCACAAATACAAACAGTTAAGCTCATAACATTCTGAAGGAATTCCCACTACTGTTTCGTTTGAGCATATGAGCATTTGACAAGCTGATTAGGTGTATGCAGATCTATTAGGATAGTCTTCACATTGGTTGCAGTCAGTTGCAATCAAAACATTATGATGGGATTGAAGAAGAATTGTTCAAGTGGTTGAATTCATCCACCATATTGAAACAGTTGTCTAGATATTGTGAATGAGGACAGAATCCCATGAAATAGACGTGAAAGAAAAGGAGGTTACTAACAGGGAACAGAGTGTTTCACATTGTGTAACTTGCACTGTGAAACCGCTTCACCTTATTCAAAGTACAGGTTGATTTGAATCGTATTTTGGGATGAAGTATGAGAATATCAGCAATTTGTATGTGAGAATTTTGTGCACTTTCTCAAAGTTTCATGCATAAGGGAGCCTTAGGAAATTTGTGTTCATCAGTTTTATCACCAGAGAGTGTCAAACCTATTAATGGCCTTATTTTTAATAGTACGCTTCTATACAATACTGAATGGTGAACGTGCTTTTTGAGTAAAACATATTTCTTGTGTAGAATCCTGAGTTAGGACAGTTATGAAGAATGTGTCAATATTGATATCTCGATTCTACACAAACCAAACATTCCCGTGCTACCGATCGGTTCACTTCCAGGAAGACCAACATATATTCTATCTGATGAACGTTTCATCAAATTAAATTACCTAACAGAATCATACGACTATTCTATCAATTCGTCAATCCAATTTTTAGAGAAAATCAAAAACATTCAAGTAGATGACCATGAGATAGTGGTGTCCTCTGATGATGTCACAGCATTATATACTTCAATAAGTCCAGAACTAGCAACAGAAACTATGCAACAATTACTCTCTAGTGATGAGAACATACAAATGCAACGTTCAACTTGTATAGAACTCATTGAATTATGCCTTACAACATTCTTCCAATTCAGTAACCAAAATACGAACAGATTAAATGAACACCGATGGGATCACCCATATCCAGTTAAACAGCTGAAGCCGTCATGCAAAGATTACAATTAATAGCTATACCCATAATTAAACCAAATATCGGGGTACCTTACGTTGATGATACATTTGTATTAATTCAGAGAAATCATTTAGAATATATCCATAAATTAATAAACAACATATTTGAAGACATAAATTCACAAGACGAGAAGAATTAGATAACAAAATCCAAATTTTAGAGGAGAAAGAAAGAAGAAAGAAGATCCCCCCGCCAAAGTTCTATCCTAGAACACTTGATCGAATCCGGACACCAAGCAAACCCACAAAACAACTTTTCAGTTATCTACACAATACGTGGGAATCTTGCCAAAAGAGTACAAATTAAACTTCTTCAAACTGCAGAAGCAATGGCAATTCACGTATTGAATCCTGAACTCTGCATACAAAAGAAGTTTGTTCAGTCACTAAATCTACAATGGTCCTGATCTATCTCAACGTCAAATGCGGAATTTGTCTTACCTCTTTCCTCTTTGTTTGTCTGTTTCTTAATTGCATTATTTTCTACCCCCACCCTCTATTAAATCTCTACCCTCATGACGACTGTTGCTGACTCCATTTTCGTTTATTTTAAGTGAATTCTACTCAGATTATTAACTTGACTCTCATTCATTTTTCGTTGAACCCTAGCAATTAGATTACGTCACCCAACCTACTTTTGTAACTTTATTTTAGTTTCTAACCGATTAACGCCTTCTAAATTACGTAGTTTGTTGTCAAAAATTAACAATTGCATTAACACATCTTTGGAAATATTCCTCTTGTTGCCAAGAAAAATTACTATAAATTTGCGGTTTGTACAGCTTGAGAATGATATCGCCGAAAAGAGTAACACTTTGCTGAACGCCTTTTCTTTTCTATGACTGAAAGGGAATTTTCAAATTACAAATTTTAGATGTTTAAATCAGAAGAACCAACGCAGGCAATTTAGAAACACAAGTATATAGAAAATCAGCATAGACAGATCCAATGCTCAACTATAGTGTTAATGACCCAATTACTAAAAAACAGTGTGCAGACATTGTTTAAAAGAGTTTAAACACATTGTAGCACTCCAGCGTTGAAAAGAAAGGAGGAAAAATACCTACTAACTGTCTTCACAAAGAATCGTCATCTGCAAACATTTCATCAAGAAGTATTTTAAATCGAATCACAACACCAACAATGAACCATCATCAAAGAACACAAGAAAATCCATCCTACCACACATAGAAAATATCTCTGAAATAACAGCTAGAATACTGAAACCGTCTGAAATAAATATAGCACACAAGCAAGTCAAATCGCTTAATTCGATATTGTATAACCGAAAGATCCAACAGAAAGAGGAGATGAAATTAATAACATTTACAAAATAAATTGTATGAATTGTAACAGACGTTGCATTGGCAAAAGTGGGCGCCCCTTCGAATCAGAATCTAGGGGCACAAATCAGCTGTGGAAAGACATGATATATATTCTTTCGTATCAATGCATATAGATAATTATGGATGTCAGTTTAATGACTGGCATAATGTCGAAGTTATAGACAGAGGAAATACCAAAAGTGCCAGGGAATTCCTAGAAGCCTGGGACTAATATGCAATTGACAAACACGTTATTATAGATCAAATATACCAACTTATAAAACGTAAATCAAGTGACCAGAAAGTTTTAAATCTAAGTCAATAGAAAGTGATCAAGACATATGTAAAGATGGTTACCAGGGGATGCAATTCTATGAATTATGGAAAATGTTATCCAGAAGGACGACGAAAACTCTGCAGTAAACCAACCAGCTCAGAGAGCACTAATGATTGCAAATCATCCACCTGAGCTATAAAACTTCTATATTATTTCAACATCATACGAGAGTGATATACTTATGTGGTGTTGTGTATTTGATTGATCAAGTCGTATAAGCAGTAAATTTTATTTTGATAGAGTCTCACAGTGTTATACAGTAATATTTACTGATCAGTAAATATTACTGTATAACACTGTGAGACTCTATCAAAATAAAATTTACCCATAATGGAATTACACTCTACCACAGTGCCCAAGTTTTATTCTTTTATCGTATAAGCAGTCATCCGAAGAACATCCTTGTCAAAAGACGACGTCTCTATCAATTACCAAATGAGACTTCTACATACCAGTACAATTATCGTCAGATTAAGCCTTTTTCCTGTTAAATTCTATTCAGGCTGTTCCTCACAAAAGTGAACAAGTTCCTGCTTACTTCATTTCAATAGTTTCCTCATGCTCATTCATCTTGGTCATTCGATATGCAGTATGGAGCAAACGAAGGCAGCTGTTGATAAACGTCTGCAGTGGCATATTGGAAATGCTTTCCATGACAGCCTGACCACGTTTCCGTTGCATACAGAAAAAGTAGGTGATTTCGTACATGTCGTGAAAATCCGAATTTGTTCTAAGTTCTGAGTGCAGAGGATTTCCGATTCGATTCCAGATTGATGAATATCCGTGTAACCATACCAACCATAGCTTCATTTTGACTTCATTTGACATATTCATCGATTCCGCATGTGGCTGAAACGATTATACCTCGATAAGTGGATGAATCGAAATCTTTCACATAGTGCAGAAAATGATCATCTTACTTCAGCATGTCTTCACAGGCGCTGATAATGTTAGTAGGATAAGATGCAGACTGAATGCTGCCCTGAAAACAACACATCCAACCGCTGAGCATATATGTGTTCACCAAACGACCAGTTGCTTAAGACAGTCAAATGTGGACAAAATCCCGCATCATCTTACCTTCAACTGTGTCTATCAACGAACATGTGCGTACCACAGCACATTTATTGGAAGAACGCAGGGGAGAGTCACTTTCCAAATATTACTATGTCAACTTCTGTCTCGTTGACAGAACTTGATTTCTCGTGTAAACATGACACAACCTAATCTTCTTCTGGTTACGTAGGATATTATCCGTCATAAGCTTTCTATTTCAATTTGATTCTATGTAAAGTAAATTGCTGTTTCACTCTGCTGTACCTTTGATTCCAAGCGTCGTCATCAAATTTTCTTATAATAAATCAAGCAAATCCACGTTTCATTACTTATTCTCTCAAATCATTTCTCTATACTGTTACACGCAGCTGCTCTCATTAAGTACTGTCCGATTTCAACGAAAAGACATGCACAATATGCAGTTTCATAATGTTCAAGTTGCTGCGAGTTGAGCAGAACTCCACAAATACTAACAAATTAGCTCATGATATTCTGGTGGAATTCTTAATAATGCTCAAATTTTTCAAGCAGATTAGGTGTATGCATAGCTATTATGATAGTCTTCACACTAGTTGCAGTCAGTTCACACTAAGAACATTATGTTGAGATTCAAGAAAGAAATTCTTGATATTTTGAATGAGGACAGAATCCCATGAAACAGATGGTGTCGGGTGTGTGCGGAGGGACAGGAAAGAGAAATATTCACACTGTGTAACTTGAGCTGTGGAACCGTTTCACCTCATTCAAAGTATAGGTTCATTTGCTTTGCATCTGAAGATGAAGTATGGGAATATTATGAAATGCTATTGTAGATTTTTGTGTGCTTTCTCAATGTTTCATACATAAAGAAGCCCTAAGATATTTTTATCCATCAGTTTTATCACTTGAGAATTTCATACCTAATAATGGTCGAATCTTTACGAGATCTCTAATTTGTTATTATCAATATGAGACGTAGGCAGCTACACAGAAATGAATGCAAGTACACTGGTAGACTGCTCTCCAAACATTCATGTAGTCCGGATTTAATCATCGATGGATATAATCCCTTGACTCGTCTAGTTTACTTCCCGGTGGTAAGCTGAGAAACGTGATGAGACTGGGAGTGGTCCTAGCGAACACACCACACCAACTCGAACATCGAACCTTGAGGTCAGAAACACAATGATGCACTCCAATTGCATGGAACTGAACATAAGAAGGAGAACATTTGGAGGATGTGGTTCTCCGAGTTGATTAGCTGAATAAATACTAATGAAATGCAGTCAATTTGGTGTATATTGTCAAATGTATGATCAGGTAGCCCTGAGAATTGAACAATTCGCCATTTGAAGTATTCTTAAAGCATAAACACTTCAGTTTTCAACTGTAGTCTTGATCAATTTCTAAGAATTGCTGGATAGAATTTTAAAGAAAATGGGATGTTGCATACGATCACGAAGGCTTTATAACTCCCTGGCAGTTCGCTCCTCTGAACTGCATAGCATATTCGATGCGCTTTAATCATTATTTAAGTATCTGTAGAAATCTTAGACGATGAGGACACCAAAATCGTCACCCATAGTCTGGAAAACTAGAGCTTCGACAAATAATCAATACACAGACACTCTAACACAGATGGCAGTTACAAATCAACTGGTAATTAGACAAATAGGTTGATCTTCAGATCAACAAAGTAACCAGTCAAAATCCTCAAGAAGAACCAATCACGTCGAAGGCAAACTTAGTGAAACGTCTGAGTATCTCATGGAGGATTAGAAGAACACACGTACGCACTGAATATCTTGTCTGGAAAGGCAATGAAATCTCCGCAACAAAGTCATTCATCAAACACCATACAACCATACACTTGTCATCTGTCTAACCAGTGGATATTCTCAAGCATACTTCGTAGTGTCTCAGATTCCTCGTCTAGTACCGTTGTTGAACCACTCTGCTCATCACTTTCTGTGAATGATGTCATTTTGCAGCACATAACGTGTGTACAACATGTGTAGTGAGCACTGCTTTTTAGATTCAACTAAAACTAAACTGTTCTTATTTAATGAGAACGGAACTGGCTATTAAGCAAAGAGCCTGTTTCCGCGAATTCATTTTCTTCATCTGTACAATCAACGTTGTATACAATTTCTCAAGGAAGAAGTTAGAGGCAACAGTGATGAGTCGTGGAAATCGTAGCTGCTAATATTAGTCAATGCATACACGAAGGAGTTGAATAAGAGTATCACTAATGCGCAATAAGAGATAAATAATTCAGTGAATGGGTTGTCATCTGAATGGACAAAGAAAGTGAGGTATAAATACGATTATGTTGATGTTCCAAGTAAATACAAGATTAATGGACTATAGAAAAGTAATCCAATAGAAATCACGTCAGTAGAAGTCGACGTGGCTTCTGCCATGATTGTAAGAATGGTTGAATAATGCATATCCATATTCAGGAAGAAATTCCACTCCAATAAATATTTAGACTTCAAATCATCACACCTCATCAGCGGAAAGATTTCAGTTGTTTCAAGTCTTCTTAGACGAGCACATTCTCTGATGACGGGTGGGAAAGAAAAAGAAGAAGAAATATCAAACATTACTGAAACTCTCAAGCAAAACAACTACCCAACGAACTTCATCAACAAAATCAACACAGACATTAAGTATGGTCGAAAACGCATTCCGAAAACATGGACATCAAAAGTCGTCATTCCATATAGAGTAGGGACGTCAGACGATATCAGAAGAGTACTCAATCAGCTCGACATTAGAGTTTTCTTCAAAACATCAGACACACTACGAAACAACCTTGTCCATATAAAAGACCAAATCCCTAAAGATTCCCTATCGAATTGTGTCTATAAAATAAAATGCTTGGAATGTGATGCGATATACATCGGAGAAACATCTCGAGAAATCAAAATCAGAAGAAATGAACACCGTAGAGCATCTGTTCGACCATCGAGAAATCTGGTTGAACTAGAAAAAATTGAAAATTCAACAGCCATAGGTCTACACGCCATATAATTAGGACACAAAATTGATTTTGACAATATTGAAATGGCATGGAGGTTTTCATCATGAGCTGATACCAGTTAGAGAACCACTGGAAGTACTTGCAAACGTTCGTCTTATTTTGGGCTCTTCAGCAGTATGCGCCCACCAGGATTCGAACCCAGGACCTTCTGGTTACAAGGTGACGTCGTAAACCATTGAGCCACTGGGACCCGATCTAATGGTCCTTGAGTACTAAACTTATGCCAATTCACGACGTAGCGCGACCATTTCGCAATGTCAGCTCATGATGAAATCCTCCATGCAATCAACCAAAATCCCTACAAAACCAATAATTGAAAATATTTAAATCATCCAGAAAAAACACATACTGATCAAATTCAACAATCCACACTTGGCTTTACTATCTTTACCAATTGAACAACTTGACAACGAAAAATGAACCCCGACAGACGAACGATGATCAAGTTAGTAAACTTTATTTTGATATCATAACAGACGTACTATTACCTTTGTTATTTGGTTTAATGAGCTTCATTGTTATTTTGACTTTCAATATCTCTTCCTTTTAACTTGACCTAAGTCTATTTTCTCACCCCTTAACTCTTTGCTTTATATATATGCTGAGATTTTGTAAATTCCGGTTTAATAATACACTGATAAGGCTATTGGCATTAAATAGTTAAACGTCAGTATAAACAGTATCATTTTCTTTCTAATTCGTTGGAAAATACAAAAAACTTTATTATAATGAATAACATATACCCAATGCCCAAATTTTTTCAAACTGTTAAGAGTAAACTTGGTTTGGACGTGTATAAAGAAACTGACATTTTCAACACACCTGTGTGAAATCAGTCATTTCTTCTTTTTATATAGATGGGAAACTTGGTCAAGCGGTTTTGCAAAGCTTTTCCAACTTGCCACTTCAGATTTTCATCAACACCTGTATTCACTAACTACGTATTGGCGATCGAATGGCGGAGAAAAATAACGAAGAAGAAACTATTGGAATAAATTAACCTGGAACTTTCTTCACTTCGGTGGAGAGCAGCTTAGTCGCTTACGGGCAGTGAATACCAATTACCTGGCAACGGCCTAAATGTGTCCGAATCTGACGATAATTGTACTGGTCTATGGAAATCGCAGTTGGTAATTGGTGAAGACGTCATCTTAGGACACAGATGTTCTGCGGATGATTGCTCTAAGGACTTGATCAATCAAATACACAAATTTTGTCGCCACATTCCTAGGTGTCGCATCGACTACCTAGGTGTCTTTGGGTATTTGTGACTCAATTCCGACAGCCATAAACAATGCTTCAATTAGCGTGAACCATACGGTACAGACACACAAGAAACCTCTTTCAAAATCCTCTTATCATATGTTAATGAAGAAATCCAAGTGAATTAGATTCGGCATGGTAAAGTCTGACATACTCTCCTATCCTTCATACACTCAAATCACACTACATTTGTAAATCAATGCTCTTTCATACAACTGAGCAGTTATCGAACGTGATTCGTGTTTCAGTAAACCTAAGTGATTGCAATGTACACATCTATTTTATTATTTTTGTGTAAGGACACTATTTACCTCGAAACAATTACACGTAGTCATGTGATGATAAGAACAAAATTACTGTATATAAACGAAGATATTAGAAGCTCAGTTTCAAGTGATTGTGAGCAGAAATAAGGATGCTCTCAATGCAATTTATTCTTCTCTCAATATTTTCACTGGCTCTGGCTGGTCGAAATAACTATACGGAGAAAATATTCCAAATGCACAATGAATATCGTAAACAGATACTCGAGTGTAAAGTGGACGGACAACCATCAGCTAAGAGAATGCCTCCTCTCGTGAGTCCATTTTATGTTGTTTATTTTCCTCAGTGACTTTTATTGCTTATAAAGTGTTAAGATAATTTAAAACCACTGTAGTTTCAGTGAATGAACAAACTTCTTCTTTACTCAGATATTATAGGATAAGGATTGGCGACTCTATGCAAGTTTGGAGGAGTTTGACTTATATTCCTCTTGATAGATTCCCGCGTAGTGTGCACGCACTGGGGACGATTATCTTTTCCAGGATAGAGCCGTTAGAGGATAATTTTTCTCCTGTAAATTAAAGCTGAGCATTACCAACATGCTTAGCTCCATACGAATGGGTGAATTAAAATACACACATTGGTAAGTTCATCAGTCGAAGCTTAGCATTCACATTCTAATGGATCACTGGTTATGTGGAGTATGTGAGTCAAAGCTTAGCTGACCAAGGTACCTCGTCTCTCAGAATTTCAACCGACAAGGCCTCATAATATTGTAGATTCACATAAAGAAGAACATTTCGAGTCAAAATATGTGTATGGTTTAGGCGGTGTAGGCTTCGTGGGATTCATAATGTAGATTTCGAGGTATTCTCTCGCATAAATCACTGAAGTTCATATTTGCCTTCTTGGTATTCCTGAGCAATGCACTGGCACTCTGAAACGTTCTAACAAATATGTGCATACTTACCTGACGAACACACTCCTCGTATCTCTGTTATTTCTTCATCAACTATAGATATGGGATGAGAAACTGGCTAGACATGCGGAAGCGGTATCAAAATATTGTGTAATTACTAAACAAAGCAGAAGATTTTATACATATCGAAGGAATACTGGGATTGGTGGAACTGTTGAAATGTAATCTACAGAATTACCATCATAATATCATATATATTTCAGAGTTGTGGAGAAATGGTTCCGTGAACATATTTGGTATAATTTTAAAGACCATCAGTGCAATCACCAATGCACACACTACTGGCAGGTAAGTTTCGATTGATCATTAAACCTCAAGCATAGTATCATTTTTAGTGATTCGTATTTGCGACTAAATACCGTTGTAGACAAGTGTCTTGAAATACAATTAGTGATAACAGAAAGAATAACATCTTCCATCTAGAGAGTATTTATATAACCTTCAGAAGTCTGTGAGGACTGTATGATATTCCCCTTGGTACAAGATCTTCAAGTAAAATAGGAATAAAGTCTATCCTGTTACAGAACTTTCTCTGAGCTGAAGTATTCCATCCAAAGACAGTCGAAGGAAAGTTAATCCATGTAGTGGAACACGTTGAAACCCACATTTGAGGCGTTTATCAAGATTGTTGGAACTTGCGAATAAGCGGTTTGTCAACATTTTAAATCCACACAGGTCGTCATAAAAGTATAACAGTCTAACAAGGTGTTGTCCGTGATGATGTTCTCAACGAAGTATACAGTAAATTCATTGAACACATCTCAGTTTTGTTCGCACAGACTGACAAGTATTCAAGCAGTCGACAACTCCAATGGTATGAATCATTATTCCTTTGCGTTCCTAGTCGAATATCGAGGTCAAACAGCTCATAGTCAATTAAGTGTGTGTGGTCTGTAGTCCGTCTTTGGCTGTCTCCACCGCTGACCATAAGCTTCCATCCTCACACACCATCACAACCTCACCCTCCTACTCAGCCTCAACACAGCATTTCCCAGTGGGGTTCCATCAAAGAACTTCACCTCATCTAGTCAATTAGTTCATTAGTTCACGATTCAGTCGTAAGAGCCGAAAAAGAGGAAAGCTTGGTCATGGGGCAAGCAACCCTCCTTCGTTCAAGCAGAATACAAATTCCATCAACATAGAAACCTGATTTGATAGAGAAAGTGTTTATTGGAATTGGTATGAGTAAATTTGCACTAAAACTCTCGCCGTAAAATAATCTTAATCTTCCCGAATTTCTCTTTATCTATTATTTTGTTAATTAGATGGTTTTCGAAAATACTACACATATTGGATGTGGGGTGACCAAATGTCCATACAGTAAAGAAAATACTTCCTATTTGCTCGTAGTTTGTAACTATAGTCCAGGGTAATTGTTTATTTGATTTGTATTGATGATTGTTTTTTTATACGGTGAAGTACACATGTGAACACTAAGAAACTCTCAAGTACTCGTCTATAGTGATTTCATTGACTTCAGGTGTGATCGCAAACTGGCTTCAGTTGGAGAATCACAATGATGCAGGTGGTACGATGACAGCTACTTCACCCTACTTTCAAGTTGTTCAGCAGTACGCACGCATGATCCCACAGGCGACCGAACGCAGGAGCACTGACTTCTTTCCTAATGACTGTACGATCTACAAGCTTGCCATATATAATCACACAGTCTTGGGTACGTTCGATATCTGGTGGCTTCATTGGTTCACACCACTGCTGCTGAGCTAAAACCCGACAATACCCGACCCCGTTTTCAAGCTTCTCCAAACTGAAGTCCATTGCCAGTCAATCCCGACATTCACACTCCATTTCAAAATCATATCTGGAACCACAAATGTTAAGCATATCAGTTCTACTGTTCTTGCCAGAGAGTATTCTCTGTAGAAATAGATTACTTCTACACAATATGTTCACTTGTTATTGTGTCGAAATGTCCCTTGGCCGTAGAAATCCTCTCTCCATTATCTAATCTGATTATGTGAATAGTGAAGTTTAATCCCTTTGTGTCACTTTTCCCACTAATCGTTTGAATTTGCTGAATGAGACTAGGCACACAGCACACACAACACTGTGAAATTAAATTCAAGTATGCGTAGCGTGTACTGCAGTCTTCCAAATAGTTTTAACTGTGTAACTGTTTCTCTTCATGTTCTCTAAATTTCGATTTTTGTTCTTGTGTTCGTGAAAACTAATAATATTTTAGGGCGACATTTCATGTAAGGCCGTATGAAGCGAATAATATCAATGAAGTATGTTCAGTGAAAGGGACTACAGGAGCTGTTCACCTGAAGCATGGACAGTAGCAGCCTACTATGGGCACTGTGAAATATAACGACAGAAATAAATCAAGAAAGAATTAACTATAATTAGTGATATATTATTAAATCTGTATAACCCAATACATGCACACTTTTTCAAATATAATGACTTTTACATTCAGCGGGTTTTCTCGCTTTGTGAGGCGTCCGTGTGAAATGGTTATGTGTAGCATTGGAATAGTGAATAGGTGGAAGCAGAGACGTGATATACTTGGTGATAGGAAAGTGCCTGTTCTGTTGTGCATTTCTACTTTCCACGATAGACTTTTCAATAACGTAACATCCTCGAAGAAATCAACAAAATATCGGAGGACCATGAACGATCTTAGGAAAGAACTGTTTCAAGGTATTCATTGCTTGACTCAGCTTCCATTTCAGCGCCTTCTATGCTACAAGCATCATGTGAACGAACCAGTTCGTGTAGATCACGCGTGTGCCCAAATGTGAAGTTAACTGTCAGACCAGTAGAGAACAGCGCCTCGAGGGACTCCAGCTTCAGTAAGTAAGGCACACGGAGATTCGCAGTATTCTGCATTCCATCAGAGAAATACGAATGCAACCAGATATCACACTGCGATTCCATTGGTGTCAAGGAGAACGTATTTAACAAAAGACATCCGGAAACAGTTTCAAAAGATGAGGTTTAGTCAGGGAAGTTACATTCAACACATTTGGCTCGTTCGCCACTATTCTGATGTGAGACAGCAGCAGCACCTAAAGTAAATCCACCCTGTGTTTACTGAAATTGTGTAGGGCCATTACAGCCTTTTAAGGAAGGTTCAAATTTGAATGAATGTAATTTCTCCATTAATTTCTAAAAAACGAAGAAGTAACTGCGAAAGGTCTGAATCACACCAGAAAACGATTTGAGCAATGCGTTGATCTCAGTATATTTTCATGTGACGGGTACAACATGACTGAAAAAAGAAGAGTCACTGAAAATGTTTATAACAGGTTAACAGAAACTATCCTGTAATCCTCTGAGGACAGGAGCTTATGCACTGTTGATTGAGAAGATTTAACGAGCTTTTATAGATTCGAGATATTTGAGAATATCAAGAACAGAGAAACCATGAAAGTGACTATTCCTCTGATTCCATTTATCTCAACTGAATCATTAATATACGAAGATTCGTCATTCTCATTTCAGCTGAAATATTTCAAATAATGTTGAATTCACCAACAGATCCCAGTTAGGCACTTCGATCTGCACACCTCATATCCAAATCATTAGATAGTATGAGATAAGTGGAAGCAATTTTGCCTAATTATCTGTTGAAGATATCAAGGCATCTGTAATTCAAGCTCTGATAACAGTCCAGTATGCAAATCCTTCTAGTGTGACGATATCATTGAGAATTGCTACTCAAAGTCACACCAGTCACTCATTTAGTTTCAGCATATTCATTGCTACCTATAACAGACAACTTATTCATCCGATATAAGGATGCATAATACCACGTTGACGAGCTTATGAATTTTAACCATGGTATCACACTATGAAGTACACGCTGTTGTTTCGGCTTCATTCAAAGCGGTATACCTGAACTTAAGCAGCTTCTGCCCCATAAGTCACAGGAACATGAGACTGTCGAAAACACTGTTTGATTGTGTTGTACGCTTCATTCAGAAGCAGAGATCGAGGAAGAGCTGTTCGTTGTGGGAAACTGCCTCAGTGATAGTGGTTACCCACAAACACACTCATACACCAAGGCGGTTCTTCGATAAACATGGAAAATCTATTGCTCACCAAGCGAATTACAGCATAGTGGAGAAAATGATCATCTCACTTCAGAATGTCTTCACAGGTGATGATCATGCTAGTGGGATAAGATGCAGGCTGAATATTACAGTAGAAAGAGCATATTCAGACAACAAGCTTGTATATGTTTATGACAGTCAAATGTGGACAAACTCCCACATCATCTTACCTCCAACTGTGTTTACCAATTTACATGTACGTGCCACAGCACATAGGTTGGAAGAACAGAGGGGAGAGTCATTGTCCGAATCTCCGAACACACACAACACAATCTGAGAGCGAAGGCATATAGAAAATATAACGTGCGCGCCGTCAACTCGACACTTGTCATGTTGTCGACAATTTGAAGGCGTTCAAGATAAGCAGTAGGCAAAAGAAATCACCCAGATTGCTCCGTTTTGCTCCGGCGGTCACCAGTAAATGATTGAGGCAAGATATATGCATGCAGAGAGCAAGTGACAGTGGTGAATCTCGCTCTCACTGCCTCAGTGATAGATACTAAAGTATGCAAATTTTACCAAGTGATCTTCTGTCCCGTTGAAAGACCTTCATTTTTCGTGTGAACATGACACATCCTAACCTCCTCCACTTTTGCTATTTTACAAAACCATATTTCCTGTGATTGCGTAGGATATTATCAGTCATAAGCTTCCTAGTTCAACTTCGTTCCTACCCACGAAAATCTGTTCAACACCGCTGTCGCTTTGTTTCCAAACGTAATTATCTGGTTTTCCTACAAATAGTCAATCCTATTCATTCTTATTTCTCACTAATGTTACCACCAGTTCCTGTCATTAAATACTTTCTGACGTCGTTGAAAAGGCATGAACAATGTGTGTGATTTCGTATTGTTCAGCTTGCTGCCAGTTGAGCAGAACCACACAAATATTAGTGAATTAGCTCATATTATCCTGACAGATTACTCACTCATGTTTCATTTGAATTTATTCAGACGTTCAGGGCGCATTAAGAACTATAAGGATAATCTTCACATAAGTTGAAGTGAGTTCACACTCAAAACATTAAGTTGAGATTGAAGAAGAATTGTTCAAGTGTGAGAATTCATCCACCATATTCAAAGAATTTTCTAGATATTGTGAATGAGGACAGAATCCCATGAAAGAGAAGGGGGTAGGATTATACTCAAGATACAGAAAGCTTCACTGTGTAACCGTTTCACCTTACTCAAAGTACACGTTGAATTGTTTCGTACCTAGAAGAGAAAATATGAGAATATCAGCAGTTCTTTTCTGAGAATTTTGTGTACTTTCTCAATGCTTCATGCATAAAAGATCCCTGAGAATTCTGTTACTTCAATTTTATTGAGAGAAAGTTGAATACTTATTAATGACCTTATTTTTAATAGCACGTTTCTATAGAATATTCAATGCTGAATGTGCTTTGTTGAGTGAAACGTATTCCTTGTGTTAAATCTTGAAGTAGGACAGTTTTGAAGAATGTTTCGTCATTCTTACCGAATCACAACGAGATCGCTAACTCTTTATCATCAGAATGAGAGGTAGATATCTTCACAGAAATGAGTGTAAGCACAATAATAGACTGCTATGCAAAAACGCACTTTCGTTTGCAGATTTAATCATTGACGGACACATTCCTTATCCTCGCTTAGTTTACTTGCAGGTGGTAAGTTCGTTATGGTGAGGAGGCTAGGAGTGAGCCCATCAACTCCACCAAAGCAACTCGAACATCAAACCTTCAGCTGAGGAGCACTAGGATTCACTTGAATTGCGAATAGCTGAAACCAAAAATGAAAACAGGTCGATAATGTGTTTCTAGGACATGTTGAGATGAATAAATACAAATGAAATATAGTGAATTTGGTATATAATGTTAGAGGAAGTATTAGGTCGCCTAGCGAATTGAACAAACCACAATTTGAAGAATTCTCAAAGCATAAAGATTACAGTTTCCAACTGTAGTCCTCATCAATTCCTAGGAATCGCTCAATGGAATTTTAAAGAAAAGGGGATGTCGCATACGATGATGAGGGCTTTATAACTCCCTGATAGTTTGCTCCTCTGAACTTCAAGGTATATTTGCAACGCCACAATTGTCATTAATGATTTGTATGAATTCTAGACAATCAGGACACCCCAAATGTCTCCCAGTTTCTAGAAGACCGGAATTTCGATGAATCGTCATTAAACAGACATCCTGACACAGGTGAGATTTATCAATCAACTAGTAATTAGACAAATAGCTTGACTTTCAGATCAACAAAGTAACCAGTCGAAATCCAAGTTGACTGAAGAGAGAAAGAAATCTGAAGCAAGAACCAATCAAGTTAAAGACAAACTTGGTGAGACGTCTGATTATCTCATAAAGGATTCGAAAAACACACGTACGCACTGAATATCTTGTCTGGAAACGAAATGAACTCTCCACAACAAAACCATTCAACAAACAGAAGACAATTATACAATTCTCATCCAGACCAGTAAATCTTCTCAAGCATACTTCGTAATGTGTCATTTTCGTTTTCTGCTATATTTATTGAACCACCCTGTTCATCAGTTTCTGTGAGTGATATCATTTTGCAACAGGTAGTCTGCATTACTAGATATGCAATGAGCCGTGCATTTTGGATTCAAATGAACAGAACCAGTTGTCAAGCAAAGAGGCTGTTTCCGCGAATTCATTTTCTTCATCTGTACAATCGTAGTTGTATACAGTTTCTCATGGAAGAAGGTCGGGACAACAGTGATGACCTGGCAGAATCACAGTTTCAAATCTAATTCAATAACATTAAATAGGAGTTGAATTAGTGCACCATGGTTAAGTGTGAGGATGGTAAGTTAACCAAGTGAGTGGTGGTTATCAGGAAGTACATTTAAACGAAGGAATAAATGCGATTATTTAGGCGTTCTATAGAAATACAAAAGTCATCAGGAGTCAGAAAAATGAACAAAGTGAAATCATGTAAGTAGAAATTAACATGGTTGTAACCATGACAGTAGGAGTGGTTGAATAATTCTATTTTGTATTCAGAGATCCCGGCGTTTCTGACTGAATAGCTAAGGATTGTGCAATGCTATGCAGACGAAAGCATATTGCTATAAGAATAAAACTTGTGCACTGTGATAGAGTGTAACTCCATTATGGATAAATTTTGTTTTGATAAACTCTCACAGTGTTATACAGTAATGCTTACTGATGACGTTTCGAGCACAATTTATTGCTCATAATCATATCAAGGTAATCACACGACTTCCTAAATTCACTTATATAGTTCCATTGTTTTTCACTTGATTTTCACTTGATTTGATTGGTAGTATTATTTTCCATATTTCAGGTATGAGTGATGATTCATTCCT